AGGGAGCTGATTCTTCTTCGTATTAAGTAGCAAAATCTCAATACTTTTGCCTCTATACTTGAGTTTGTCAGACTTGTGCTTATACTTGGGGTTTTGTATCTATCATTTTTATCTTTTTTATAGGACGTAAGAAGTTGGCTGTGGTCAAAAGGCATATCCAGAGCTTAGTATCGTCTCTACTCAATATAGTCCTGCACTTGCAAGGTCCCAAGATCTTTTTCAGAAATCTTAAGTTCAGGAAAGATTTTGCTGAACCCGACCCTGGCTGTGTCTGTCTTATGTGCATTTCGGTGCTGACAAAAATTTCTGCCAAACACGCCTTCTTCCAATTGGAAGCATGCCATATTGGGCAGTTATTGCATATGCCTGCTGCAATATTTCAGAGTATTTTCCAGCTTTGGATATCCAAAGGTTCTCTTTGTTCAAATTATACAGGAGGCTTGATGTTCGGAGAAACTGAGGTTCCTCGAACCGAAAGAAGTGCTGTGGATAGACAATTTTGCATAAAGTTATATGCGGCATGCTGCCGCATGCTGTGTAATGTTCTTAAGCATCACATAAGGTTTGCTGCCTCCTTGATTCTTGTTTCCTTCAACTCAGAAATATTCATGGACTTTTCCTTATTTTTTCACAGTAGTGATTTATGATGATTCCTGGGGAAATTTAAAAGAGATAAAGACTCGTTATAGATGTGTGGACGTTGAGCAATCTTTCCCTTATAAATCCTGATTTATTATCTTGGTTTTCACTCTAATGTGTAGTGAGGCACGGCGCTGCATCGCTCTTCTGGAAGATTCAGTTGGCAGGCTCCTTAATTGTTTGGAGATGGTATGCACTAGTCCAGTTGAAGGAGATTATTTTGGATGGGAAGTGCAAGAAGGAGTAAAATGCGCCAGTTTCCTTCGAAGGGTGTACGAAGAGGTAAGGTTACTTGTACATTCTACCCTGTCAATAGTGGAACTTTCAAATACTTGAACTTTGGGTTAACCAGATCCAAGTACTTCCTCTGCCTCCATCATATATGGATGTTGCCCTTTTGCTCTTCTGAAAAAATGGGAGTAAAAAGCAGATGGATTTCGGGCTTTAAAGGTTGATTGTGGATACTGATGCTTAGGCTGATGAGCGCTTTATGATTCGAAATTCTTGGCCCTGGCAAAAGTCGAGCATACTATAAACAGTGCTCTAATTGTTTTGGGATAACTGTGGTGTTCGGGCCAACTTTGCACACCTCGACTAATTCCACTGGTTACCTGGAACCTTCTACTGCAAATGTACCGGGTGACTCTGGCCACCACCAAGGTTTGGACAGATGGGAAGAAACACCTAGTGTTTTGCCTTCGCTGCGATTTGAACCTATGACTTCATAGTTTTCAACCTACTTCATCGACCACTACATGGTTGTTGGATGAACTTGCCTTGAGCTTCATCCTTCTTTTTGGATTTCTTGAACATGTTAGTTGTAAACTTGTTGTCTCTGAGCAGAGGGTCTCCCGTAAACAACCTCTCTATCCTTTCGGGCTAGGGGTAAGGTCTGCGTACATTCTACCCTCCCCAGACCCCACTAGTGGGATTCTACTGGGTGGTGGTGGTTATTGTTGTTAGTTGTAAGCTTGATTTGGTCATCAATCAGTTTTTAGGTTGTTCCCATTCATTACTAGCTTGGTACTGAATATTTTTTTTTAATTTTGATTCATTTACTAGCTTCATATTGTATGTTATTAATAAATTTTCCTTCTATTGGTCACAAAGAGAAAAGTTCTGCGGTTGTTGAAACTAGAAAACATAGGAAGCATATTACTGGTCCTCTCTTTTGATTCCAGATAATTTGAGAAGTTGGTTTCTTGTCTCATTTACTCTTTAGAAGGGTACTAGTGCAAGTTTCAGATTTGGGTCATCAATGCATTAGTTGCTTTCACTGTTTATGTCTTTCATACAATGACTGCTCCTTTCCCATTTCGCAGATTAGGCAGCAAAAAGATGTCTACGGTGGCCATTGTTTTCAATTCCTATCTTGCTACATATGGGTTTACTGTGGATATGGTCGCCTTAGAAATGGAATCATCCGGTAACTTTTTGTTGTATTCACTTTTGATTTCATGTTAAGAGGCAAAATATGATTTGCATTTTTGATTCCTGTTCTCCAACTTTAATGATTTTTTTCTTTTAACTATGAAGGGAAATTGATGAAGCTTTAAGACCTGGTGTCTATGCTTTAATAGATGCTTGTTCAGCAGATGATCTTCAACGTCTTCACACAGTATTTGGAGGTGAGCAATCTCAACCTGCTCTAAGTTTGAAGCATATTGAGCTATTAGTTGTCTCATTATTTTTATTTTATTTTCTTTTACAGAGGGGCCCTGCAGAAGCACCCTTGCGACTTTGCAACATGATTACAAGGTCCATTTCCAATATGAAGGAAAAGTGTGAATGATCATTTTAACTACCTGTGTTGGCTAAGTCTTCCTTGGAGGATCTGTATAACTATTGCTTTTGCGAGCAAAGTCTTCATTGTGGATGAAACGAATAAGACTTGCAGAGTAATATTGCCAGTGAAGCAATCTCGACATTGCAGCATTGCTCACGGGGTTAAAGGCTTGCAAGATGGTATGCTTAGAGGAGAATATCTCCCAAGAGATCAAGTTTTTTTGATCAATTGCAGCACGCGCAACAGCAATGCTGCTCTTGATCCATTTTTCAAGACTAAGGGCTGAAGGCTAATGAAAACGAAGTGCGAAGCTTTAAGGTTGGTTCCTTTGGGACATGCTTGTGCTCCGCTGCTAATGTTGTAGCAAACTGTATACACGCCCTTCATCAAATCTGAGTCTTCGTACAAAAGAGATTTTGCCGAGCTCGAGCCTTTCGGTGTTCCTGTGTACCGGTATGGCTAGAAGTATTAAGCCTCTTTTCAATTATTTGATGATTCAAGGGCCGTATAATTGTTGTCTTTTCGGTCGCTTTGACTTGTAGAGTATTACAATTACATGTTAGTGCACGAACATTGGGAAAAATGATTGAGATTCTGTTAAGAATTATAAAGTAGGCATAGTAATATGGCCCCCCCCCCCACACACACCCCAAACCCATTGGTACATGTTAATTAAAATGAGTTTTAATCAAACGGTTTCTTATTCTCGTTTCTTAGAACCTAGTCATTAATTTAGATAATTCTCATTAAGTATATAAGAGCAGTGAATAAAGTGAATGTAGTTTCTAACTTTCTGCAATCAATTTGCTATCACTTGCATTTATAAGTCATATGTTGCATTATAAAGATGATCCATATATAATCAGCCAACATATACAATGTAGTTTCTAACTTTCTGCAATCAATTTGCTATCTCTAACTAGATTCATATTCTAGAATAAAGCTATAAAGCAATCTCCATATTCTATCCCGTGCTAATGCAAATATTCTGATAACTGAGAAATCCACTATGAATTGACTGATCCCAGCCCAACAATGCTCACAGGTTTGGAACCCGAGGGAGTATAGACCTGTCCATCTACCCTGCTCTCACTTAAATTCCAGACTTCGGTCAGTTGCGGGATTTGAATTTTGAACTTGTCAAGTGTGTCTAATCCACACTTTTGCGCTACATCCTTACCATTGAACCAAAGTTCTGGCCACGTCCCTACTGCTTGTATGTGGCTATGCAATATAGGCTAACATTTTACTACTCTGGTGGTGGTACTCTTGAGATCATACCATGCACTGTGCGCTGGGACTCCGTCATGCACTATACTTTGTATCGGATACTAGTATTAGGTTGGGCCGAGTTATGGTAGAGATAGTTCACTCTATTCTTTCTTCTTTGCGGACTCATTTGAGGGACACAAAGGCAGGACATAAGAAAACAAGATAAACACAACAGCCAAGATAAGCATAAGCAAGCATGACCAAGATTGCAATACCCCACGGACATACTCTGCCAAAGTTTTTTCCTAAGGTTGATATGGAAGCCAGAAATTCAATCTCCAAACAAGGGCGGCCCTTCCATAAAGCAAATAAAGTAAACGTTTTAGGTCCCGTATTTGTGGGGGTCCCATTTTTTTTTACACCTAATACACTATGTATAAGTGTAAAAAAGAATTTTGTACAGTGAAAAAGTTTGATTTCTTTCTACCAAGAAAATTGCACTTGAAATGAATATCGAACCCGAATTTCGTAAGAAACATGTGATATATAGGAAGTAACAATTTGATACAAGTATTAAGAAAAATAATACAATTAGAAGATAACAGTTTAATTAATACACTTAATCAAATAAAAAAAATTTAATTCTTTTCCAAATGCCTAAATTGCTTATGGAATAATTTTAGTAATTCATATTACCGTTGCTTCAACAGAAAGAAGTTTTCAAAATTCAAATTGATAAAATCTTACCTAAGAACAATAATGGCACAACAAAGATTAAATGGATTAGTTATATTGTCAATTGAGAAATACTTATTAGGAATTATTGATTATAAGAAAATTATTAATAACTTTGTATATAAGAAAAACTAAAATATAGACTTCAAATAAATAATAAAAAAAAACTAAAAAGTTAAGGTCCCTCGTAAAGTTTGGCTTTAGGCCCCAAAATTCGTCGGGCTGCCCCTGTCTCCAAAAGAAATACACTTGTTGTCTTACAAAGGGTGGTATCAGAGTATATGCTTTGAGCACGGGTTCTCCCTAACCTACTTTTCCTTTCTGATCTAAGGTGCCCTCGAGCATCTGAAACCAAATTGTAGTTTAAGTAAAAAAAGCAGAAAATGAACTCCTCAACCATAATTCACAATCGTCAGTCATCATTTGAAGCATAGGCACTTTTTGTGTGTGTGTGTGTGTGTGTGTTG